ATCATGGTACGAGCATGGAGCATTAGTTCAGTCAAATTGATAAAAGTAGCCTATTGTAACATTGCAGTGGGAGTTTACATGAGTTTCCAGTATGTTGTGTGACGCTTTCTCCGCTGTGTTGAAAGTCTCAATGTGGCCGTGTACCGCTCGCTCGTGTTCGAGCACGAGCGCTCTTGTAAAAATGGTTTGCAATCTGAAACATCACCGATGATAGAGGCCGCTAAAAATACATAAAGCACCTTTAAAGCAGACGCCAGTTTGAGCTGCTCTTGCTAGCTTGGGTGTTCTTTCATTTGCATGTCGTCAGAAGATCACGTTATCATGTTAAATTTAACATCTACGCTTTTATGAAATTGTGTTCTCATGCTAATTTGCCCTGTTTAGTAAATCGGGCCCCTGATAAAGCGGCTAAGAAAAGACTCCAGAATATAATATTATATACTTTGGGTTGATCTCGTTTGATTTGGGCCAGATGCTTAGCAACACCCTAGCAACCACTCTGAACACAGTACCAATGGTTTGAATACTAAAGTTGTCAGACCAACTGGAGAATTCTTCAAAAATGTAAAAACATAGTTTATAAATGTAAAAAATACATATTTTCATTACTATTTATTCATTTGGCAGATGCTTTTACACAAAGCAATTTGCACATATATTGCATATAGTTTATGAAATTAAGACCAGATCATATACAATTTTGATATTCAGTACTGTTCAAAAGTTTGGGGTCAGATTTTTAAAATTTCATGCTCACAAAGGCTGAATTTATTTGATCACAAATACTGTAAAAACAGTAATATTGTGAAATATCAGCGGTTTTATTTCCTGAAAATATTTGAAATGTAATTTATTCCTGTGAATTTTGAGCATCATTACTCCAGTCTTTAGTGTCACATGATCCTTCAAAAATCATTAAAATATAATGATTTGCTGCTCAAGAAATGCATTATTATTAACAGTGTTGAAAACAGTTTTGCTGCTTAATATTTTTGTGGAAATTGTGATGCATTTTTTTCATGAGTCTTTCATGAATAGAAAGTTAAAAGGACAGCCTTTATTTCTTGTAACGTTATTAATGTCTTTGATCAATTTAACGCATCCTTGATGGGAAATAAACGTAATTTCTTTCAAAACAACCGACCCTTAACTCTAGTGTTTGCATTTCTAGTTGCGTGCCTGGTTGTGTTGTCGTTTGCTGAGCGTGTAGGAAGCGACAGGAACAGATCTGATGGGAACGGGTGCACTCAGATGAGAATCTGAGGATGATGTCTGTGATCAGAATTCAGTGCAAGGCCTTGTGAAGAAGCTCTGACTGATTCGTGATCTGTATGTGTGTGTAGGTGGAGTATATCCAGTAAGCGCAACACAATAGCAAAATATCCATTCACATCTCTGTGGCTTCTCATCTTACTCATACACACTGCCCAAAAAAATCACCAATGACTTCAGACGATTAGGCGTTAAATGTGTTCGGTAAAGACGCGGCTTTCCCACACTGATCACTGCGCTAACCTTCAGATCCGATCCCAGCTCAATTCAGAGTTTGTTTTCACTGCATCACTTTGATTTCACTTTAAACTTAAAGGCAATTAAAGAAATATTTCTCCAAAGCAAGACAATGTATAGTTTACTCCCCATTATATTTCTTCTGAATATATGAAGTTCTGTCAAGACAAGTCTCTGAGAGTTTGGGATGGGACAATGTTACGACAACAGCTTGTGCCAGTGCTTCAAATGTCAGGATTTACTAAAGACGCACAGTGAAAAATTAAGCCATGAACAGGGTTATTTTTGTGGCTGACCTTATCGCTATGCATTTGTAGGAGTTTCCCGTTCAGATGCAAAATATATGGAGGAGAGTTTTACTGGAACTGAATTACTAAGGTTTGCGCTCATCAATTTACTGGTGTTTGCTCCATTATTTACCGCAGCATCCATATAACCCTGTAGCCCAAGACTGGTTGCCCACTGGAGCTAAGAAGGGTTTGGGCCTGGTTAGTATCTGGATGGGAGACCTCCTGAGAAATCCAGGTCTCTGCTGGAAGAGGTGTTAGTGAGGCCAGCAGGGGGCGCTCATCCTGTGGCCTGTGTGGGTCCTAAAGCCCCAGTACCACACTGTACTATCAAAGAGCACCGTCCTTCGGATGAGACGTTAAAGGTGCATTATGCAACATTTTATGTCAAAAATAAATGTTTTTCTAACCCATACATGCTTAAATAATTGCCTGATGGGCTGAATGAGCCCTTCTCTGATCACTGCAATTGCCTCTATAATCCTGTAAAATAAATAAGAGGGATTCGGGCTCGAATTTGAGATTGGGCGTAACACTCATGCCAGAACTTTATATTTTTTTAAGCAGTTACGATTAATCAGATTTTCAGCTGCACAAAGCTAATATATGCATAGTATAATATGCATTATATATATTATGTCTGTTTATCATAATCAGAGTTTTTTTAAACTGCAGTTTTATGGGTACTTTTAATATTTTGTCAACATCAACCAGGCAGAGAACAGCTCAGCCCACTGAACAGACTTTCGTTCCTCACAGCCTCATTTTTATTCAAGCCCAAATATGTGTTTATATGACTAAGGACCTTTGCGATGATTTGTCAGTAAACTCATGGATGATTAAACAGACATGCTTAGAAACCTTTGGTGTCGAGTTTAGACGGCCATTCTTCAGAATATCAGTTAAATATCAGAGCCAAGCACTTACCCAAAATTCCCATTGATTACTAGAAGTGCTTCTCCATAGATTCCCACATGGGTTTGAGATGCAAAGATGTTCTGGAAAAAAAAGAGGGGTCATTTTTTTTCCACATTATATGATTCAACATATGAAAAATGTAAAAGGCAAGTCTAATGATGAACGACTAACTAAAAATATTGTCTTAAAACATTTTGATGCTTGATTAAAATAATTAAATATTAAAATATTGAACAGCCTGCTGAAATGCAGAACAATGAAATAAATAAATGAAGAAATGAAAAACTGAATTAACATATATTGACATGCTGAAAAATTGAATAACCTACTGAAACAAAGAAAAGAAAATAATATTTAAACAGAGAACACTGAAATAACCAGATAAAATGAACTTTGAAAAATGCAGTCTTCAATCACTAACAATAAATAAATAAATGCTACATAAAAACCAACTGTCACACCGAAATATTAAATTATTCAGTAATTAAAAGTAAGCACTGCATGCTGACATTAAATATGAATGAAATCCTAAATAGGAAAATTGTGTCTTACTGGAATATTAAATTACCGAATAACCAACAAAATAATGAAAAACAATGTTTTTATATATATATATATATATATATATATATATTTAAACAGACATTAAAAAAATATGAAATACACTGAAATATTAAAAACAAAAATATAGTCATACTGCAATATTAAATTACTGAATATCCAACTGACTAATGGAAAATAAAACACAAAAAATAATGATATTTAAACACTGACATTAAATAAATAGGAAACTGAAATACTAAAAACAAAAATATTGACATACTGAAAATTACTAAATAATACTAAATAGTACTTTATAGTAGCTTTACAAGCTCTGAAATGTAAAAAAATATATAAAATACTAAATACACATATATACTTACTTAAATAATAAATGACTGAATGACTGAAATACTGACAATGAAAGGCTAATAAATATCAAAACACTGAGAAATCCTCAGCACTGAAAACTCTAAATATAAATGAAGATGAAGGTAAAGTGAGATTGACCTCCGCTATAGCAAACACAGTTTTTAGGTCACTGCGGTCGTTCTCATGAGTGATTTGGAGCTGTATGTGTTGAAATCACACAGTTCTTGAGGTAGCACTCAGTGGCACTCAACCAACATTTTTTTCTCTCTCGTGTGCTTGAAGAAACAGGGTGAGGAGCAGATTTTGACAACCGCCCACGTGAGAAACATGTTCTGCCAAAAAAGACGCATTTTTAAAAGGCTGGAACTGCTAAGCAGAAGGTCAGACATTTGATCAAAGCAGCTTTCAGAGCGAGCGAGTCTGAAGCCAGACCTCAGGAAAGCTGATCAACCCAATTCTGACGTGACAAAAGGCACTAAGGACAGAAAATGAACAAACAAGCAGCAAGCAACCCACTCAACCCGCCTCAGAAATGAGGAGAATACAAGTGAAAACTACAAATGCTACAAACCTTTCACAAATGATTAACCGATAGATTTACCATTCAATATAAATACCTGAATGCATTTTGGTGATCAAATATGTGTGTCATATTACTGTCCAAATGCACTATGACAGTAGAAAACTGTTACATTGACAAATCTGAAAAGAGAAATAAACAGGATTAATGGGAAACAGATGCAAGTCAATGGAAAGCTCAGTGGAAATAATCTTGGTTTGGTCATGTAAATTTCTCTGACAACATCTAATTTCCACAAACAGAGATTTTCAGAAAAACAATGAAAGTGAAAGAGGAAAAAAATGAGAAAGGGAGGCATACACAAATATCAAATCAATCTAACCATCCATTCTACAAACCGCATATCCTAATGGTGGAACTTATTAATGATGTAATTATAAATTTAGGGGGGAAAAAATAAAATAAAAAAAGTAAGAAAAAAAATTAAAAATAAGAAAATAATTATTTTAGTACACAAATTAAAATAATATCAAATCAATCCAACCATCCATTCTACAAACCGCATATCCTGATGCTGGAACTTAATAATAATGTAATTATAAATTTAAGGAAAAAAGAAAAAAAAAAATCTTTTAGTATACAAATTAAAATAATAAAATAAATAATATCAAATCAATCCAACCATCCATTCTCCAAACCACATATCCTGATGCTGGAACTTAATAATAATGATGTAATTATAAATAAGAAAAAAAAAATTTTTAATTTTTTTTAATATATAATAAGTACGCTATATAAAATGTCTTAAAATAATGTAATAAATATTTTTTTAATAATAAATAAATACTTGTAAATTGTATTTGAAAAATAGGTTTTATTTCAATGTGCTCTATGTAACAGAAACATTATTTAGTAACAAAAAGTGGCCGTTCAACAGACACCGATCATAAAACACATGTAATTCACCACATGATGTGATGGAACAATATAAAAATAGCATATAATAAACAAGGAGTATAATATATACAACGCAAACAAATGTAAAGTAAACAGTCCATCCATGGAGACGCCGGCGTCAGAGAACAGTGGGGTTTATCCGACAGCGCCATCTGGAGGCTTCTGGGAGAACGTCACGCTTCAGGTCAGATCAACTGGCAGAACACGTGTTCCTCAAACAGAACTGACGCAGCGCTGAGAACGTGTAAATGTGATTTACAATAGTCTGTGAGCTTCCTGGGATGTTTGTTTAATATCCATACAAATCGGTTCCCTTTTTCTTCTTCTTCTTCTTCATGGTGAAATTGACACTTGGATCTTTTTAAAAGACGTTTGTAGAGTGTCTGCGTTCAGTCGGACAGCTCGGCTCGCCGCTCGTCGCTCTCGGGGCTTTTCACGCTGTCGGTGCGGACGATGCACGTGGGCCGATGGAGGTTGAGCATCACGATGAGCTGCTGCCTCTCTGACTTCAGCTCCTCGATCTGAGACTTCAGGCCCGAGTTCAGCATCTCCAGACGCTCCGACTCCTGAGAGGACAGAGCAAAACGCCTTGGGTTAATTCCACCGTAGCCTCAGCCCACACGTTTGAGTGAAACACTTATTCAATCACTGTTTTATAGAGTTCGTGTTACTGGTTATTTACAAAGGTTTAGGGAATTCATGTGACATCTCTGGTGTTTGCATAATACAAATATTCCATTCATCACTCAATTGACGTCATAAAAAATAAACATCATAAAAATGGCATGCATCTTTTTTTTATTCAAATAAAAGTGTTTTAATGACTTTTTAACCTTCACTAGTTAATTTTAAATTGCTTTATGATGTGGCGAAATATAAAATAAAAATAGTAATATAAAAAATGGCATGCATAGAAATTACACAAGTGTCAGATTTTTTTAAAATAAAACTTTTTAAATTAATAAAAATTATATTTTTATCTTGCAATGTGACAAATTCATTTTAATATGATCAAATATTCCATGTAATACATCAATTAATAATAACATAAAAATTGCATGCCTTACCATTTTAATTATATTTTTGAAATAAAATGATTTAATCACTTTTTTTACCTTCACAAGTTCATTTTAAATTGTTTTATAAAAAAAATGTAATATAAAATTGGTATGCACAGTATTAGTTTTTTTAATAAAACGTTTTAAATTAATTTCTTATTTTTGTTTAATAAAAATAATTTTACCATCACTATTTTTATAAAATAGTTCTAAAATGTCACAAATAAATGTTTATAAGCACAAAACTCCATGTAATACCTCAATTAATAATTGAAAAATAACATAGAAATTGCATGCCTTAAAAATAACATTTTAAATATATTTTTGAAATAAAATGATGATCTAATCACTTTTTTACCTTCACTAGTTCATTTTAAATTGTTTTATAAAAAATGTAATATAAAAACGGTATGCACAGAAATTACACAAGCATATGTTTTTTTTTAATAAACCACTTTAAATTAATTTCTTATTTTTGTTTAATAAAAATTATTTTACCATCACTAGTTTGTTAAATAGTTCTAAAATGTCACAAATAAATGTTTGTAAGCACAAAAACTCCATGTAATACCTCAATTAATAATTACAAAATAATAACATAAAAATTGATGCATGATACACCAGTATCACATTTAGAAAATATTTAGAAAATATAAAATTATGATTTAATTATGTTTTACCATCAATAGTTCATTTTAAATAATTCTGCAATGGGACTAATTACTTTTAAAAAGCACAACTATTCCATATAATCCCTCAATTAATATCATACAAATGACAAAATGATAATATCATAAAACAATGAATAACCCACTGCTACAGAAGTCAATAATAGTAACATGTAATAAGAGTAAAACACAGTAAAATAAAGTTTAATGCCCAAAATGAGAAAATCTGAAAAATTAATACATTTTCAAACTCACTTTCTGGAGAAAGTCGGTCCTTTCCTTCTTTCGGTTCCGACAGCGAGCGGCTGCAACTTTATTTTTCTCTCGCCTTCTTTTCTTGCGATCATCGTTGTCACCTCCCTGCGGTCAGAAAGTACACGTTAGTTTACACATCTGCTTTAGTGTAAACCGAACCATTATAAATCAACCTATGAGCATTCTCAACAAAAAAATAATAATCGGCAGACATTAACAATGGTGTCCACCAGGTGTCACTCTTGACCAGCGAGTGAAAAAGTTTCAGTGGAGCTTCACAAACAGTAGAACAGCAGTTTGACTTTCTCAAGCTATCGCACATAACAAAACTTAACAAAAACTGTTGGGATTTTTATGAATGAGCAGAACTGGGCTGTGATATCTAAAGCTGTTAGATGTTCAGTTCTCACCTCCTCACTCTGGCTGTCGTCGAACGGTCTCTTGGCGTGTCTGTTGAGGATGAGAGGAGACAGAACGGCACCGAAGCTGTAGAGCTCTGCCAGCTTCAGCTGGTCCGTCAGGGTGGTGGAGGGAATGCCGGCCAGGGGACCGACACTGGGAAGAGACCCGGCCGTGACCATCGGATCAGGGATTTGACCAGGCATCATTGCTGCTTCAGAAAGAGAGACTCATTAGTTTTGTTGATCGTGCATGAAATGCCTTTTACAGATATAGAAATGCAAATGCATTAAAAAATATATATATATATATATTGAGCATTTAACAAGTTAAAGAATTCTATTCATATTTATTTGTATAGCGCTTTTCACAATACACATCAATTTCCAGTGATCTGTTATTATCAGAGATGACTGTCTTTCAGAAATATACAAATCACAGTAGCTAAAGATTTAACAAAAAGAGTTTTTTGCTTTGGAATAAGTTTACTAAGGACTGATAATGTGTGTTTTCAGTGGAAAATCTCAGAAAATAATGAAGTTTCCATATGAGGAACACACTATAAGTCTGCTTCTTAGAGAGTTATAGGAAAACTCAAAGATTCCCAAGAGCAAAAACAACACCTACACATGTTCAAGAGCGAGGCTTAAAACAGCTCTTGAATTGTCTGTAAAGGCCATTACAAGATTATGTAACAGTCAAACATGTTTCGCAGCAGCTAACGGCTACTTTCTGCAAGCTTTTCGACACTAACTTTCCTTGCACTGAAGACAAACTGTCTTTGGGCCACATTTCTGCAGGGTTTTTGGTGATGATGTAGGCTAGTCTTTCTTGCTGCATTTGTTTGAACTTTTTAGAAGTGAATCATTATAAAGTGTTCCCAAATGTCCTTTTTGTTTAAGATTTTATTAGTTATACCTAATCATGAACTAAGAAGTCTTAGCTAATGTTCATTTCAACAATACGTTATTAAAATCAAATGTTGCATTTGTTAACATTAGTTAATGCTTTGTGAACTAACAATGAACAGCTGTATTTTTATGAAGTAAAGATGAATTATCTGCTGTAACTGGTGACTGTTTTAAAAGTTATAGGTGTTTTGCAGCTGACTTGCAGTGTGACGAATGAATTTTAAAGTATAAATATGCATGTATAAAAACAAATGCGTATGAAAATGTTGTTGCAGAATAGTTTCAGATGGAGTGTTACATTGCAGGACATGACATCACCATTCAAACATGGGGTCTCAAACTTTTCAGGAGCCCCATCGAGACCCTCAGCCAACCATATTAAAAGCAAGATTACCAAAAATAGCTATAAAACTTCCATTAATAACATATAATTGCACCTTCTATAATGCTTAACAGATCATTAATGCATAGAGAGAAAAAATATGGGTTGTTTTAACCCATATTTGACCGTTGAAACGACCCAGCATTTTTGTTGAGTGTACATAATGTAGCTACTTTAGTGTGCAGTAAATAACCTGGGTGTTTCAGAAATATAGCTACATAAGTGATGCATGAATATAATTTTCTTCTTCTCGAGGTTTTATTTAATCTCATTGTCAGCAGTTACTAAATACACACGATAGACCTTTAAAACGCGTCTTATATCTTGTCTAATTCAACTCCGCTCTTCTGTGCACGATTTTACCAAATGTGAATGTATTAAAATAACGTCTGAATAAAGCACTTACTTGTTTTGCTCTGGGAGTCGACGGTTGCTCGTCCGTTCAGCTCGTTTGTGTGTTTGTGGTTTGTTCTCGTTGCATCAGCGCGTTTATGTATCGCTGCGCGGTGGAATGCGGAACTCTCCAGTGACGCCAGCAGGGAGATTGAGCCTTGGCCACGCCCATAGCAACCAACACAACACAACACAGCAGCGCGGGACTCCCTGTGTGAAGCGGGATATCCCGTCAAAACAAAAACAATTCAACATGATGAGCTCATATGGGTATCTCTCTATTATTAAGAGTTTCAATACTCAGCCCACGATAAGAACGAACCTATTTTTAGCTATTTTCCTATTTGCACGATGGTCAAAAAATAAATAAGATGTGGAAAATCTTTTTGAATTCATTTTATGATAAAAATGACAAATAATATTCGGGAAATATTTCATTTCTATTATATTACATTGTTATATTTGTTTCAAGTAACGGTAGGGTTAGGTAGGCCTACTCAATTATTTAAATGTTTTATTATTATTATTATATTATTTTATATGAATCGACCCGTTTTGAAAATCCTTGGCCTATGCTATCACAAAACAACCAAACAAAAACAATTAAAGAAATGAAGAGTTCAGATGCAAAAGCCTCTAAATGCCATTTGAAATTTTCTTCTTTAATGATGATTTTTATCAAACTTGTATATTTAAGTTCAGTAATTTGACTTAAATAACAATTAATAGGTAATTATCATTGCCATTTAAGTGAAATCACTGAACTTAAATATACAAGCTTGATAAAAATGATCATTCTAGAAGAAAATTTCAAATGGCACTTAGAGAGGCTTTTGTATCTGAACTCTTCAAATATAAACTAAAGATCCGTTCACAACAAGGACGATAACTATAACAATATAGTTGTAACAGATATAAAGGAATAGCAGAGTGCGGTGACAAATCAGGTCCTCCCTCGAAATTGTGTTTCTGATATGGACTTCAAACCATCCCATTGGATCAGATTATGTGTAGCCAACTCTCTTTAGAGCCTGATTACATTCCGATCGCTTTCGGGATGATTTTTTCCAGCTGATTAAAGATTAAAAAAACATTGACAGCCAGTCAAAATCCATTCAGCATTTAAAAGGTTAGTTAACCCAGACCTCACCATTTACTCACACTCATGTTGTTCCAAATCTGTAAGACTTTCGTTCATCTTCGGAACACAAATGAAGATATTTTTGATGAAATCCGAGAGCTTTCTGACCCTCCATTACACAAGTGACACTTTGACGCTTCAAAAAGTTAATAAAGAGATCGAAAAAATCCAATCTGTAAAAAATATTTTCAAGATTTGTTATCACAACATATTTTCTTTTGTCAAATCAACTTTATAATAATTTATTTAGTTGAGATAACTTATTATTTTGAGTTTCTGATGGTTAAATTAACCTCCTTCATTGTATTAACTCACTTTTTCCAGTTCAATCAACTTAAAATTTTAAGGCAACCCAGGTTACTTACTTTTTTAAGTTAAACCAACAATATTTTTTTACAGTGTAGTAATCACAACATTTTTTCTTTTGTCAAATCAACTTAAATCATTTATTTAGTTCAGATAACATATAATTTTGAGTTTCTGATGGTTAAATTAATCTCCTTCATTGTATTAACTCACTTTTTCCAGTTCAATCAACCAGTTTACTTACTTTTTAAGTTAAACCATCAATATTTTTTTACAGTGTATGAATTGAGTGGTTTAGTCCAAATTTTCTGGAGAGACAAGATTTCTTTATATGATGAACAGATTGAATTTAGGCTTGTATTCACATATAAACATATAAACATAAACTCTCAAACTTCATCAAAAAGATCTTCATTTGTGTTCTGAAGATGAATGAAGGTCTTACAGGTTATCATAGTAATACTAAAATAGTTATCATTATCTTCATAGTAATCGTTCTTGGTGCAAAAGTGCCATTACTGTCCATTATAGTATAGAATACAGTCAGAAAGCCTAATCTAATGGCATTTATTTAACAGAAACACAGCGCAAGAACACGTTTCCAAGAAGAAAACTGATAAAATAACAAATATCGTGTTCAGAATGAAGATAAACATGACAGTTTGTGGTTATGAAACACAGGTGTGAATTGCAGCTGCTGTTCGCCTGAAACAGGTTTGAACTTGAGGGAAAATTAATTTACATACACATACAAAATCACTATGTTAAGCCCGATAAGAAAAAAAATACAAAAATAAAGAAAGAATACATTTCAAAATATAATAAATACCATAACACGAGGCAAATGATGTGGAAAAGGGCAAAACCGGCTCTGAAATATATAGTTTGTTAAGAGAAAAGCAGAAGCAGACACTTTCTTCGATATTTTGTTATCTTATGCAAAGACAATACTATATGAATATATTTGTATATTTGACAGCGCTGTTTGAATGCCTTCAAGAGAAAATACAGACTTTAAAGGCACTCATTCTCCTGCTGTTTAACAATTTCCATTTCTTAAAGGGATAGTTCACCCAAAAATCATTTCATTCAAAAATCATAATTTAAAATGGCTCCTGACAGAACCCTTTAAGATTCTATATAGAAACTTTTCTTTGAAGAGTGAGTAATTTATAATTTTTTTACACAACCCTCTCAATATTTTACTGGTCAATCATTGCATTCTTCGGTAAAAAAAAAAAATCTGTTCTCATAAGAGTGAAAATCGTTGAATAAAATGGGCGTTTAATGAGCATCTCTAGTTTGAATCTATAAGTATAGCTTACACGTAGCCTATGTGATTAAACCCATCCATCCGACTGCTTCCTGGATATTGTGCACTGGCATGCACTGAAATATACAGACAGACCGCAGACAAGATCACCTCTGTGCCTCACTTCTTACACACAGACAAACTTCCTCTTCCACATTTATTGTGCGACAGCATTTTTTGTATCATCAGAAGAGTCATCAAGATTCATAAGGCCTGGAATTTTCAGTCTCAAGTTAATTTTAATCCATAAGAACTTCAATATGCGTCTCTTTTTTAAGATTTAACACACAAAAGTGCAGGGAAAAGTGCAGAAATACAAACGACCCAATATTAAAGACAAAAGAGTAAAAATGGCATGAAACGTGACCAGACATGATTTCAGCTCAATTCCTCCTTCAATGGCTGTGCGTTCATATTCAGATCCTGATGAGCAATGCAACACTTCTGCATTTCATGATTAATAAACTCTAGACAATGATAAAGACTGAGCGACAACCAGACATCGTTGCAAACTCAAGCCCATTTCCGACCCTGGAAATATGATATACCGGTAATTGGAAAGACACACACACACATATCAATTGTGGTGGTCAATGCACACTTTTTCACTATTAAACAAGCGATAATGCTGCAGTATCAGCAACACAGGCACGGTGCTTTCATATCGCTTACTTGCAAAAGATTATTTCCTAGCAAAATATGATGGGTTTATAATGCCTTTGCAATCCTGAAAAAGTTTCTTCACACATGCCTTGTTTTTTCTCTATTAAAGAATCAACATTTCATTTAACTAGATCATGGACAAAAGCCTTGTGTATTGTCTTTATTGCATCATTAACATCAGGATTTAAATATGAACTCCACTGACATCTAAAAATTTGTAAGTCAAATGTAAGGGAAGTATTATTGAAAACAAAAGCCCGATTCAAGCTATTGTGAACCTCAGACGCACCAGACATCCGGCTGGATATAAACGTCACTATATGCTGAAAACTGAATCATGCAAAGAAAAGAAGAAGTCCAGCAGGACATTATTTTATTTCGGCAGGTTGAATCATTAGCGGTCGCATAAGTTGACTAATGCAGAGCTGAACCTAAATAGACTGATACTGTCTATCAGGACAAATAACTCATATCTATTTCCCCTTTTATATTTTAACAAAGTGGCCTGCATTAAATGTTTATATTGTGTCTGAGCCAAGAACACTTTGTAATGTGGGCTGTCTTCCAAGAGAGACACGAGCTGTGCATCTCGTATTGAAGTGTGTGTGGGAAGAGTTTCAGCTGCTAATATTGCAGTATTGAGATATAGAGCGATACAGCAGAAAACTGAGTGAGGCATGTTATAACATGAGCCATTATTAAATAGGCAATTAATAATCAACGATATAATGATTAGCCTATTTGAACATAAAGAATCCATCAGGATATAGGCCTATTGGCAACACTTACACAAACTAACAGTGAACAATATACTTTTGCAACATTTATTAATATTTGTTAATGCTAATTAAAACACAGCTGTTCATATTAGTTTACAGAATAACAATACAACTAGTTTTGATTTAAAAAATGTATTAGTAAAAATGTATTCAACAAATGTTGAAATTACTATTAACTATGATTAATAAATACTGTAGATGTCCAACGCTGTCTTGTTCATTTGTATTGATATTAAGTAAGGTGGTTGTTAACATATGCAAACTTATTATTATTATTTAAACAGTATAATGTAAGTTTGTCAGTCAAAACTGTGACACTGACCAAGTAAATTTTTCAGTTTGAACATTTCACTCAAATTGTTGAGGTAAAAATATAATAAAGTTAATTTAAACTGCAAAATAATTGAATGCCCAAGCAGCGTTTAGTGGCCCTCGACTATTGTTATGGAAACTTGTTCCGCCACGGAACAAAAAGGTTTAAAAGATATTTGCGACTTTTTTTTATCTCAAGTTACATTATTATGTTTTTAAATTTAGTAAACAAAATTCCATAACTTGTGGACCTGACTGTAAACTGCAGCTAACCAAACACAAAGTCATGCATTTGTACAGTTAGTTCGCTAGCTTTTATCCTTGATATCATTTCAATTTTGCAACGGGGCAGTGTCCATTTTATTCAAACAGGTTGTTTCGCGCTATGTGTGACACCATTAAATGTTCAAAATCTACGCTGGATACCAAAAGCAACTCAAAAGAGTTGCGATACAAAAGAGTCCCGTCACCGTGACCTACCGAGAGCTTCTCTCCGCTCCTCTCTCTATTCTCTCCTAAATCTTCCGGGAACATCTCCATTGCTGAAACAGGACAATAATATCACTGTTTCTATAGTGACAAAGCAACAGGCCATTTTCATTACCAAATATGGACACGGAAGTAGAACCACGAGAGCGAAAAACGACATGGCGTGCCAATACGCAGTGACGTCAGACGCTCTACGTTGCGTCCCGGACGTAGCGAGAACGTTCCGACCGACCGTGACAACAACCTACAACCTCTGTATCGACAAATCGATGTGGGTGAATCTCGTTGCACAGAAACCTTAGAAATGAATGGATCTCGAAACTCGGTGAAAGGATAATGTGCACATGATAGACATGGATGATGTTTATTCTTTATCGAAACGAATGTCCTCGCTGACATTGCATGGAAATGAAAGAATGTTCTTGAACGGGAGGCTTTTAATTCTGCCTTTTTTCACCCCAAAAGAGAAGAGAAGCCTCAATCTTATAAATAAATAAAAATAAATAATAATACAAACATCCACATGTTTTCTAATTGTAATATCAATTATTTGTTTATTAGAAACATGCCAGACAACAGAAAAGGAAGCAGGAAGAACAACAACAAAAAAACTGCATAAAGGTTTTTTTTTGCCACCATGGTCAGAATTACAGAATTACACAGTTAGTCACAGACTTAGACACGGTGTAACAGACTGCACTGTACTTCACCACATCAACTGATACAGTTACACGTACCTATTGGTACAAAAGTGCATGAAAGCAAGTCTTTCACAGGATGAACAACGTACTCAACAATGTCAACATCTGGAAGAAACAAACAGTGACTTCACTCACTGGATGTAAAGATCACATTACATCTACTGCACAGCATCCACTATATATTTTTGTAAATGTTGAGACTCGTTTATGAAAGCATTTTTTTTTCTGAGGGGTTTTCGGTTCATCAAGAGAATATATATATTTTATACCCTTCTTCTTCTTCTTCGGAATATTTTACTCTTAAAAATAAAGGTTCTTTATTGGCATTTATGAAGCATCCACGGAACCTTTCACTTGCACAAAAGTTCTTTAGATTATTCACATGTTCTCTTTGGGAAACTAAAAAAGTTCTGTTATGGCATCACTGGTAAAACCACCTTTAGGAACCTTTATTTTTAAGATTGATGTGGCAGGGCCTTCATAAAGTCTTCAAGATTTCTTTGGCTGCATTAGGTTTGCCCTCTTTGCCGGTGTCATGCTTCTCCTCCTCTGCATTGTTGAAGCTGAAGACGGGCACAGCGTCGGTGCTGCTGCATGCAGGCGAGCTGAGAGGTTCTAACCCTCCACCCATTGACATGTACAGGGTTTCCCATTCACTCAGGCCCAGAGAGCTAGTGAGGTCGATGTCTGGCACTAACAGATCCATGTCATCGCCGCTGTCCATCACGTTGCTAATGTCTTCCATGGACACATCCCTCATATCGATGTACGGTTCCACCTCAGCGGCGCCCAGCTCGGCACTGGAACACAGAAGGACGTCCGAGTCCCCGAAGATGGCAGTGCTGGGGGGGTCGAGCTGCTGAGGGGAGCTGGGCACCTGTTCTGGGGATGCGGTGGGAGCTTGAGTCTGCTCGTCCTGGGCTTGGGTTTGTTCCTCGGCCTCCGCCTCCCTCTCCTCCGAGAGCTTACAGAGGGGTTTGTGAGCAGAAAGGATGAGTTCGAGACGTTCTTTCTCCTTTAACAGATTGGCGATCTCAGACTGCAGAGCTGCTTTGTCCTCCTCGAGACTATCGGTTTCCTGGACATATGCAGATCATAGTCATATCATGCACAAAGTCATGTTTTTGGACGAATGAGAGAGCAGAATTGTAAACTTACAGCTTGGAGACTGTTGGTTAGTTCTTGCCTACGATTTCGACATTTGGCCGCCGCGAGTTTATTCCTTTCTCTTCTGATCCTCTTCCTCTCCTCTTCCTCTGGAGTAAGCTGAAATGAAGAAACACCATGCACTTATACATATGTGTGTGTGTGCATCGCTAAATGCATATTGCATATATATTTATTTATCTGTAGTTGATATTGAGTGACAGCTAATGTCCAAAAAAATTACTTAAATTCATTAAACAAATTTTACCTACTACCAATGGTTCCAATAGCGGGGTTTTGCAGCGATGGCACATTTTAGATTTAATTTTTAGATTAAATCAAAAAGTAATCTAAAATCTAAAAGATTTTAAATCTAAAAGATCTAAAAGATTTTAAAAGATGTAAAAGATCTAAAAGATTTTAGATTCAATTTTAGGACCCTTTAAGTGAACAATTCTTAAAAGAAACATTTGAATGACTTTATTAAAATCTTTATTTTTAAGCGAGTATAACATTTAAAACAGGGAATTATCATGGATATATATAAATACAATCAGATGAATGTGGAATTCTCCAGAAAGCCCATGCATTAAACACATATCACATATATAACTAGCGTATGGTAATAGTTTTATTTAAAAAAGGCATGTATTTACCTGATCTTTCACCCCCTTTCTCCGGCCAGTGAAGGTCTTTCGAGCTGTTTTGGCGTCTGTGGAGTGAGATGAGCTGTGTGGTTTCTCGTGTCTGCAGGGTGACACTGAAGAGATGTCAGTCGACAGGACCATCCACTTGAGATCTGGAGCTGAAGCTACAGCAGTGACCGTTGGAACAAAGGGAGCATCAGCATCCTTCAGAATACCTGTCTTCTGAGAAAGAGCATGCAAATGTGTTCATCATGTATTGCTCATAGCAAAACTGCATTTTAATACAAATCATGATTGTATTCAAGAAATTGAAGAAGATGATCAAATAAGCATACATCAATATTCAAATAGTCCATTTAGGTTACATTCTAGGTAGACATGAAATTGATTACCTGCGTATCCTTCATCTCAGCAGCTGATGTGTGCAGCAGCTGTTCTGCAGACACCTGAGAAACACTCGCGGTTTTAGGCATCACTTCTGCCAGGAGATGCTGGGAACCAGATCAATATGTGACTAATGTCAACAAATGCTATTCTGCAGGGGGTGTTTTTTTATATTAGAAAAAAAAGATAGATTGAGGTTACTACGCTAGGAGGCACCAGCCATCCGCGCTGCTTGTCTTTATAGTGAGGCAGATTTTTATGAATGAAATCTGTGAGACTGTACCACTGATCCGGAGGGGAGACTGCTAAGCACGAGCCACATAAATATACGGCATTTCATAAACATCCCAGGCACAAAATGATGCTCATTTTAATTCAAAATGTTATGCATTCACTTAATGTCTAATACGTAGGCTAAACTAAATACGAAAGGCGTATTAGGCTTTCACATGAATGAACAAGATACGTCATTTTACGTGCCTAGTTTGCAAGTCTGTCGTTTGCATCCCTCTGTGAGCTTACGATTTACGATTAATATCTTAAAAAGATGGTTTATATGCAGGTGCGTGATTCTCACGAGGAATATTATTATACATTTGCCATGATTAAAGTAGCCTACACAAATTGACAATAATTAAACTGTTGAAATAACAGTTACGATATTTCAACCGCACCCTTTCTATTAAAAACTTGGATTTTTCGTATCCCTTGTCAATTAGAATGATGGATCTCCCACTCAAAGCGCTCCAGCAACAACCCTGTCGCTGATGTGAGCAGCCAATCAGAGAGCAGCGTGTCATGACCATATTTGGCATATCCGGTGTGGACCCTCTAGCTGCAGCGCTACTGCGGCACAGCCTATTTTTATCATTTCACATTTAATTCAATGACATTCTTATGACGACATCTTCGCCAAGCACCCAAAATATCTAAGAATTGTTTCATGAACGTTGGCTATTTCATAACTGTCTGCTGACAGATAAGATTATGTCTACTATGAAGGATCTGCACAAACAATAAATCAAAGGATTTCTGCTTTAATGAACACTTGAACTGGAAGGAAACGCCGTTGTTCTTCTCCATAACCTGTGTGAATATCTCTATTCATAGCTCAGATGAGGTAACCCTGCTTTCAGAGGGCGCGTGAGTGGGGCCTCCCTTCTGTCCACAGTCCAAGAGTTTCCCGGCAGATCCGCCCCTGGTTTCTGATCTGTGAGGCTCATGAACGGAACAGCGATAGGGTCATTTGCAGGAGGGTCATTCCGCAAAATCAACAGCATTCAACAATCTATTTTAAAAGTCTTATTTTTAATTGATTAATTGAATAAGAATATTATTTTGAAAATAAATTCAAGTAACTATTACATTATTTTATTCTTTCTTCATGAGGCTGTCCTCAGTCCTGCATGTGTCTCTAACTCATAATGACATCATCATCATCATCTTTAGAATATTCTTCAAGGACATTTAAGTGTTTTATCCCCCTCAGGACATTTTCTTATGTGTTTGTCACAAGATGATTTTAAATAATCACTGCATGAGTTGTGTACTGTAAACAACCAGATATGTGTAAAGATATCATGCAGCAATAAAGTGTCTAAAAACACTGTGGTCTCATGAACTTACGCACTAGGCTATAGCATTTAAAGTAAATAAAAATAAACTGTAAATCCTTGTTAAAGGCATAGTTATATAAACATATGTGAAGATTAAAAAATCATTTTGAGATGCCACAATGTAATTTCTCATCCTTGAGAAAGTAGCCTAACCACATTTTCAAAATGCAAAGGTATGGAATGACCTCGGTCGGAGCCAGTAAAATATCTGCATCTTTATAAATGCATAAATAAATCTAAAAATAAAGGCATATTTCTAAATAATGGTTGTATTTTTTTTTTTCCAAAAAATGATATTTATTTGCAGTTAATATTGATAGAAAGTTGCTGAAAGGCGAAACCTCTGTGAACATTTGCACAGGCTCGGCTCGGGTGTCAGTGACGTCAGTGGGAGGGGCGTTGCTTTGACAACGAGGAAGTTCAAACAAAAGACAAACACCGAAGTGGAGCAGTAAAATATGATGACATCACATGGGAACGCTGATAGAGCTGTTTTCGTTTGTTAATCAATAACAAACTACCGTCAGTCATGTTTACCGTAGCCAATGGCAGAACATTAATAAAACAAGACTAAACACGAGCAATTTATAAGCAATCCAAACATTAGAAATTGAGTGGCCTCATTGCTTTCGTTTTAAACACAATATAGAATACATTCATAAAAATATTTATTTTAAAATTAATAATAATAGTATTAGTAATAACAACATATAAAGTTGCCTAGTGTGCACATAATAAATGTAATGCGTATATTCACGTTTAAAAAAATGTAGCCTATAAGTTTGAAATATTACATGATTGTTCAATGGTCCAGTGATGCAATACACAGAGCTAAGAGATGAACTCAGCATTTTATTAAAGGAATCCCTCAGTAAAGGTGCGAAGTAGGTTACAGTGGAAATATGTTACTCCCCCGTCATTGGACACGCCTTTCATTATCGAAGGTACGAACACAACCCGAGGCAATGAATGTTTCGAGGAAAGTATGGCATTGAACAAGCGTGAAACAAAAAATAATATTTGAGCGTGTATTTTAGGGTCTGGATCACATTTTCTTATGTAATATAATATAATATAATATCCTAGTTATTTAATTTCATGTCTTTATAATATAAATGTATACAACAGGCTATAATCATACGGTAACAAATGGCTGTTAACGTGAGATAAATAAGTTTTCTCGAAGTATCTTTACATAATGCTGTAGCAATACAGACTGCACAGAGTGTTTCCCATCAGCGGTCCGCCTCTTCAGGATGTTTTCCATATAAGGTAAATGACGTCGTGGGATACCCTGCTATGGGACGTCATGGATTCCACTCCGTTTTCACTCAAAATGTTCATCTACGAACTTTTTTGCAAACATTTTGTTATGTATTAAGCTTATAAATGTTTATTAATTAGGTATCGATCATGTAATCAGTAAAATGCTTTCCCGGAGACGTGTTTGTCTAACGGTTTCTATGCAACCAGTGGCACTGGAAGCCCGAGTCGCCACGCCCTCTCTCTGACGTCAGTCACAGCTTCCATATATACTCGGCAGAGCTGAAGCTCGCCACTCAAACTTTGGATACCGAGAGCAGACGAACGGGGAACTAACAAACCGAGGCCTTTCAAACCGTTTTTTACTTTCTGGATATATTCGCGCTGGATAGTTCTTGCTTCTCGACTTTTGACAGGATGATGTTTACAAGCCTTAACGCTGACTGCGACGCGTCTTCCCGGTGCAGCACGGCGTCGCCGAGCGGCGAGAGCGTCGCTTATTACCAGACTCAGGTATATATCATTATTGAATTCACTAATGTATAATTATTCAGTCTTAAGGGATGATTTATTCGTAGTTTATGTATAGCTCAAGTGTTTGAATTATATTATAGCCCCAGTCTAAACAATAAGAAAAACTAACGTTAGGCTACACTAAAAACGGTCAAGTATGGACAAACCCAACCGTTGGGTTTAAAAATGTAACGTTAATCATGTAATATAACACATATATGTAAATATTTGCCATGTATTAAATGATTTCTTATTTACATTTTAGGATTTCACAGACTTGAGTGTCTCAAGTGCCTCTTTCGTGCCAACTGTCACTGCGATCTCTTCTTGCCCGGACCTGCAGTGGATGGTTCAGCCCATGATTTCATCTGTGGCGCCCTCCAACGGCGGAGCACGACCTTACAACCCGAACCCTTACCCCAAAATGAGGGTCACTGGAACAAAGTCCAACAAGAGAGCCAGAGAACAGGTACATAATGCACTGACTTTGTTTTTAGGGATTGATCAGCCAGTGCACCATACATTTGTGAATAAGTGCAGAGTTCAGAAAGTAAAATATCCATGTTTTTGTTTCCACAGCTTTCTCCAGAGGAGGAAGATAAGAAAAGAGTCCGCCGGGAACGAAATAAGATGGCTGCCGCGAAATGCCGCAACCGCAGACGAGAGCTCACTGACACGCTGCAATCTGTAAGTATTTCGCAGATCTTTGTGGAAAAAAAACGCTTCATGTACTCCACACGTTAAATGTCTAGTGTCTGACGGTGTTTCATTTTGTCTGTAACAGGAAACTGACATTCTTGAGGATGAGAAATCTGCTCTTCAAAACGACATCGCCAACTTGCTCAAAGAAAAGGAGAGGTTAGAGTTCATCCTCGCCGCACACAAACCCATGTGCAAGATCCCCGGAGACGCGGACCTCAGCTTCCCGGAGCCGTCCGTCTCTCCCGTCGCCTCCGATTCAGTCCCTGAGATCCACAGCGTCACTACCTCAGTGGTTTCCACAGCGAGCCCACCGGTTACAACCTCTTCCAGCAGCTCGCTGTTTTCCAGCACCGACAGCTTCAGCTCCACGGTGAGGATCTCAGACCTGGAGCCCACCTTGGAGGAGTCTCTAGAGCTCTTGACCAGAGTTGAGCTGGAAACGGCTCGCTCTGTCCCAGACGGCGACCTGTCCAGCTCCATGTACACTCAAGACTGGGAACCGCTCTACACGTCCGCTAACATCGACCTGGAGCCCCTTTGCACACCCGTCGTCACCTGCACTCCGACTTGCACCACCTACACGTCTTCCTTTATGTTCACCTATCCAGAGAACGACATCTTCCCAAGCTGCGGGCCGGCGAACCGGAGCAACGACCAGTCCTCCAACTCCTTGAACTCCCAGACTCTCCTCACTCTTTGAGAACTCACTATAGACACTTAGAATTTATATTTCCGTCACACGACTTGATATGAAAAGACATTGCAGGGCTATAAGGGACTCTATCAAGCAATCATGATTGCTTCCTATATTTATCTGAACCATATATGCCTGCCAAATGTAGCAAGATAAGCATGGATCAACTGATTATTATTATTTTTATTTTTTATTTTATTGTTGTTGCATTAATGATCTGGTTATTGTTAATATAGTGTTTTTTGTTTACTGGTGCTAGATTTCAATTGTTGTATTAGTGTGTTCTGAGCAATAGAGAACTAATATGTTTTGACTTTACGGTTGATTTCTGAATGTGTGAATTTATTTACTCAAATGTGTGCCGTCTAACCATTGCATTAAATGGTCTAACGTCCAAGTATGAAGTTTTCTGTGAAAACGTAGTCTCTTTAATTTATGGAGTTTTTATTTTTGTACTGAAATGTGAACTTGCGAATTGTTTGCAAAACTAGAAACAAATAAATATTAAATGTATACCAAACAGATTTGCTTGTGTGAGATACTTTTTATTGCAGACAAGATGTATTGATTCAACTGCACTACGGTACAAACGTTTGGTGTCAATAAGATTTTATATATTTTTATTGAAAGAAAATGCTTTTATCAAGCAAGGATTGATGAAAAGTGACAGTTAAGACATTTATAATTTACTTATTTGCATGTTTTTATTAACAGATTTTACAGACATTATATTTTTGAACAAGTAAATGAAGCCTTGATGAGAAAAAACATAAAAAAGGTCCTGACCTCAAACTTTTTAACCTTAATGTATGTCCATCAGACTAGTATCACAATCTTTTCATAGTCATACTTTGTTTTGATATTGAGCTACACCCTTCAAACCACACCTTAATAGTGAATGGGCTTTTAATGTTTTGCTCTGATTCAGACGTAAGTAGTGCTGATAAACGTCAATTCATCGGAATAAATCCTAAATGTGTCAACAAGATTCATCGAAGCGTATAAGCACCAGAGCCCATTACGATTAGTTTGCATTATTTTATCTAGCCAAAGTAATTGCAGCGGATATGATGTCGTTCAAGTGCGTAAGAGACTGTGACGCAATCACGCCATTATACAGAGGTCACTTCCTTCCCCCTTCACACTTATCGCGGTTGCAAACATAATAAGTGACTGTGAACTCAAGAACAAGAGGATCTTCTTCCCTTTTATGGGCTGTATGTTTTTTTGCTGATTTATCATTAAGTTTGTGGCTAATAAAATGATACATTTTAATAGCCACATTTTTCCTAGCTACATTTTTCTAAATGTCATTCTGCCTTAAATTATTACATTGTTTAAATTCATCCATTTTTAGCTAACTCGCTGTAAAAAAATATTGTTGGTTTAACTTAAAAAATGAAGTAACCTGGTTGCCTTGAAATTTTAAGTTCATTGAAATGGAAAAATTGAGTTGTTACAATGAAGGAGATTGATTTATCCATCTGAAACTCAAAATACTATGTTATCTGAACTACTATTTAAGTTGATTTGACAAAAGAAAAAATGTTGTGATTACAAATCATGAAAATATTTTTCTGAAAGATACAACTTACCTCTGATAATCACTTTAGATTGTAATGTCGGCTCATGCATTTTGCTGCTGTTGTGAAAAGCGCTATACAAATGAATGTGAATTGAATATTTAAAAAAAAAAAACTGGGATAGAGAGATACTGACAAAAAAAAGGCAATTGCAAAAGACTAAAAAAATGTAAAATATTGGTAAAGCTCAAAACTACAGCTCTGTATCTCCATCAGCAGACACAGCCAGTCAGTGAGATTGTGGCCCTGACGTGAAATCACATAGCATGTAATAATTCCCTGTCTATTAATACAATTGGCAGACCCCAGAGAGAGGCAGAGACAGAAATAGCAGGTGCGCTGCTTCACCATCAGCATCAACAGCAGTAAAATTAGACCACGGTGACGCCGACCTGCGTCGATGCTGCAGCCCAGGGGAGGAAACAGACTGGAGGAAAAAGCAGGAGAAAAGGGAAAAAAAAGCAGAGAGAATCCAGGCTAAAGATAGACCATAATGCACTGCTCCCTCACTGATGAAGACACACAGTTGGATCGCCGCCATTTTCTACATCATCTGGTGGATAATCACCAAACTGAGGCACAAGCAGATTGGCTGTTTGTTTAGATGTAGACACTTTTATTAACGTATCCAGGTTCTCATTGACTGATTGTAAGATTGATTGTAACACTGATTTTACAGTAGACAACCCTTCACCCAGAGATCATATACAGTAATAAATATGAGCAGCTGTCGGTGACATCACACTTGTGAATGAACTTAGGTCCACAAAGGCTTGGCTTTATTAAAGCAAGGACCTTTTTCGCCTATGTTTAGTAAGAAGTCATTTTCCAGATGAATGCAGATTTGAAGTTCACTTCTTTAAATCTGTTTGAGAAGGTCGCTCATGTTGTGTCAGTTGGCAAAACCTCTCTCAAGGAGACCAAAAATAGGTGCAACAAAATATGAAAATTAAAAATAGCAAATTTCAAGAGTAATTTGCAGATTCAACTGAATGACTTTATCATGAACTGGTTTTCTGGGAATTTTCTAGACTGTGTGATGTCAATTTATTCATTAATGGAAAAAAAAACTCAATCTAAACGATTATGGATTTTACATATTAAATCAAGAAATAAAAAAGGAGCTGTTAATAATGTACAGGGGTCAAGATACCATAACCAGTGGTTACTGATTAGATGTTATCTTACTTGTAATTAGATTATATTATGTTTTAAAATACCAGTAAGACAACTATTACTGTTTTTATTGATTACATGTTATTCTCACAATAATAATAATAATAATAATAAATCAAATTAGGTTCATGGTTCTCTGATGTCGGTTAATGGTCACATGACATGCAAGTAAACAAAAACAATCTTTGTAGATCGTTTTTTTAAGTGTTTTTTTTTTATCGTCACTTCATTTTGTTGATAGCAAAGAAAGGCAAACATTTTCTTTCTTTTTGTATTTTTATATAAATATGTTAAGATTATCCTATATCAATGTGATAAACAAGTTAAAAGTCATCTAAAAGCAATTAAAAAGCAGCCAGATTATAAAGTAATACAATACGTTACTAACTTCAAATTTTGTCATTCAATTTGGAATCAGTAACAGACTATGATTTGTATTCATAACTAATCATAACTTATATTAAAATAATAAGCATATTTATAATCTAGTGGGCGAAGCTTTAGAGAGCGTTTGATTGATGTAAAAGATGTTATCCTTGATACTGGAGTCTAAGAAAGAAAGTGTTTTCTTTCACTATTCTTTATATTTTTGATGTTCTTAATATTTATTGTTGTGTTCTAATTTTGTTGTTTCACACTGTGAACTGAATGTTCACTAAAAACAATCATTAATATTGGCAGAAGTGAGAGACAGTAGGCTACGTTTTGAATGCTTATATCTTCTAAATGATATTGCATAACATCTTGAATGGAAAATTTAAATAAAAGAACTTCACATGAGCATTAGCCTATTTTGTCCCACCCAATTTCATTTAGTCACATACGTGGGTATTATCAGTCAGTGAAAATTTCAGACTTTGCGTCAGAATGCAGCGTAGGCGATCATATTATCTCAAAAAAGTGAAAGAACAAACATTTTGTAAACAGGATATGTGCAACGTGTTGTAGAGACGTCTCCGCTACTCCCTGCATCTCCACGAGGTGGCGCTCTCGATACACAGAAAATCGCAGATGCAGTGCGCGTGCGCGGAATGAGGAGTGCGCAGGCGCAGTGCGCAGCTCGACCCGGGCCTGCAGTAGTGGAGCGATCAGCTCGTCATGGCGCGGTTCAGTGTGTTCTCGCTCTCTATCTCGCTGTTGTTTGTGGTTCATTCCGTCGTGTCGATCTCGTTTTACCTGCCGGTGCGCAGCAGAAAGTGTTTGCGGGAGGAGATCCATAAAGACGTGCTCGTTACCGGAGAATACGAGATCAGCGAGCAGCCGAACACGAAAACCAACCTGAAGGTGACGTCACGCGACACATCTACAGGATTAACGATTTTAAAATAGTCACATAAACAATCGTTACACTAATAATCAACAGTTACATCACGTTTGAGTGGAGTTTTCAGTTAATTTGTGATGACTGTAACGGTTCTGTGAGTTTAAATCCAAGGCCTTATGTTAGTGCTACATGGCGCTTCCTGGTTGGACGGTGATTTAATGATTGAATTAACTTCGTTTATAAGCCGTTTAACGTTAAATGAATCAAAACTCTTGTGTAAATTATATTTTGCCTTTACTTATCAATATAAAGTAGGTAACTAATAAATGTAGGTTTAGTTTGTGTGTTTTCCTTCGGATCTCATTCACTCAAGTTATAACACGTCAGTCTTACTTCCATACTCGCATGAACAGAACAAGTGTTAAAGCTTATAATATACATATCAGTGCAAGAAGATTTAACTGAACATTATTGATTCGTGTTGCATTCATTAATCATTTAATTATGATAATAACACATTGGTTACCTTTCTGGACTTTTATAATGTCTTTTGATCTTACATAATACCTGTATAACGTTAGATGGTTCACATATATTTGTCTGCTGTTTGACTTTTACTGAATATCAAATGTTGTAACCCTGTTAGATCACAGACTCCTCTGGACACATCCTCTATGTGAAAGAAGATGCAACCAAGGGCAAGTTTGCCTTCACCACAGAAGACTACGACATGTTTGAGGTGTGCTTCGAGAGCAAGTCGCCTATGGGTGAGTGTTTCACACATCCTCACACTTCTCCAACTGATGCTTTTGATAAAACCTTATGGACTTGGCTGCCCTATGGTCAGCTTAAAGTTATATTTGCTGTTATCGCAATGGTAAGTACATGTAACATATGTAACTGGGACACTGTAAAATTAAGTGTTACCAAAATCAAATTCTGAATCAGCACTGATGTACTATACATTTATTCATTTTAAGCTGACGCCTTTATCCAAAGAGACTTACAGTTGCTATATATGTCAGAGGTTGCATGCCTCTGGAGCAACTAGGGGTTACGTGACACATTGGTGGCTCGCAGTGGATTTGAACCCGGGTCTCTCACACCAAAGGCATGTGTCTTATCCACTGCGCCATCATGATCACCTGTATGATTTCAGAAATCATGTCTTTTTTTTAGGAACTGGAAGAGTTCCTGACCAACAGATCAACTTGGACATGAAGCATGGTGTTGAGGCCAAAAATTATGAAGAGGTTTGTTTTTGTTTTTCTCATGCTTTACATGAGCTGATATTTATTTGCTATTTTATATAATTTGTCGTTTTCAAAATTGTAGATTACATCGCTATTCAAACCTTTAGGGTCAGTGAGATTAAGTCTCTTCGGCTCACCAAGGATGCATTTATTTGATCAAAAATACAGTAAAAGGTTAATTTTGTGAAATATTACTGTAGTTTAAAAGGGATGTTTTTACATTTGAATAGTTTTTGAAATGTAATTCATTACTGTGATCAAAGCTGAATTTTCAGCATCATTACTCCAGTCTTCCATGTCACATGATCCTCCTTTATCCTTTACTTTAAGCAAAATTGGAATATTGCATAAAACATTTGGGAATAAACTTTTTCAGTATAGAAAGTTCAAAAGATCAGTATTTATTTGAAATAGAAATGTTTTGTAACATTATAAATGTCCTTACTGTCACTTTTGATTAATTTAAAACGTCTTTGCCGAATGAAAATGTATTTCAAATAAAAAGTCATACTGACCCAAACTTTTGAACAGTAGTGTACATTGCATTTGGAGATAGTCTAAACCTACTTTTACTGGCAGATGTTGTTTTGAAGTCATCCTGATTGTGCCACTTTGTTCAGATTGCCAAGGTAGAGAAACTGAAGCCCCTGGAGGTGGAGCTCCGTCGGCTGGAGGATCTCTCCGAATCTATCGTCAATGACTTCGCCTACATGAAGAAGAGAGAGGAGGAGATGAGAGATACTAATGGTAAGAACAAACCTACTGAAGTTTCTTTACAGCTTTTAAGCAAGATTGGAAAAAAGGCCCTGTTTACACCTGGTATTTAGATGCGTTTTGGTCGATCGGATCACAAGTAGACGAGGGAGACACGTTCCCGTTTACACCCGGTGTTTTAATCCGTCTCTTGTCCACTTTCAACCACTTCTGTCCTGATTTTTCGAGGAGAGGGTCTACATGTGGTGAATGAATGGGCTTTTTCAGATCTTTCGATCTAATGGATGAAATAAACTCACGCAATTTACATATGAACACGAAAGGAGAAAACAGAAAAACACATCAGCTTTAGTTTCTGCTCTGACAGCCACAACACCAGCTGAACGCAGTGAGTGTGTGTTAGACATCAGGAGAACATTGAGCTTGGTACGTTTCTCGTCTTTAAACCAAACTTGGCTCTCCAGCCGATAAAGTTTAAACCCTGTCTGGCTAGAGCTCTTGTCATGTTTACGCCTTAGGTCTTTTGTGGCTGTTTGAACACCTTCGATCACATGAGCGTTTACACTACGAAAGCAATCCGGTCTGTGTTTTCAAATACCTCTGAAAGTGGACGAGCTCAAAACCCTTTAGACCCCGTTTACGCATCTTAATACCAGCTGTAAACAGGGACAAAATGTCTTCTAAATGAACCGATTTAGATGTAAATGCCGTATTTTGTGTAAGAATGGTTTCTGATGTCCTGTGGTGTTTTGCAGAGTCCACCAACACACGCGTGCTGTACTTCAGCATCTTCTCGATGTGCTGTCTGATCGGCCTGGCCACGTGGCAGGTCTTCTACCTGCGCCGTTTCTTCAAGGCCAAGAAGCTCATTGAGTAAAATCTGCCTGTACAATCAGGGACCCAGAACTACTTCCTGACACCAGAACCTCCGGCCCCTGACATTTGCTTTGCCTCGGCGATCCGTTCTGGTCGCCACAGCCGACCTGAAGTTTATCGGGAGTGGACGTGCATCAGGGAATTCTCTGGGAAGCGATTGATCCTTGACGGCCAAATTGTCTTTCAGTGCGTGTACATTTTTGATACAAGCTTGCTCGGTATCATTTGGAAAAAAAACACCCAATCTTTCAAATTTTTTTTTTTTTTGTATTTATGCTAAATGACAGCACAAGCCCCAATAATTGATAAAAGATGCGCTCCTGTGAGAGAAACGTTGTGGTCATCTGTCTGTCATTGAATGTGTGTGTTAATAGAATGATTGTGTCAGCCTTAAGTTTTCATAAACTGATGTGTTTAGCTATCTTTCAAACACGAGTAGAAAGACTTGTTTGAAAATGCAAAGCCATTTTGTTAAAATGAAGTCCCACTCACTGCAAGTGAACCGAGCGAACGCACATCAGAGCTTCAAGCTGACATATAACATTCTGACTCTAATTTTTATTTTGGTGGGCAGAATCTCATTTAAGTTTGTTCATGGGAAAGCCTGAGTTGATCTGTAATTAAAGTCTTTATTTGTTGATTGTTAGTTAGTTTCTCCACAGACTGAATAAATGTTCGATCCAGCAGGACTCCTGCAGTGGGCTTGAGGTTAAAGGTGTGTAACGCCATTATTGCTGCCCCATCCATTCTGGTGTCTTTAATGGTTTGATTTGTTAAATCTACCCATAATTGACAGATCAAACTGGACTTTTAGTTTAGGGTTTTCTCTTCTTTTCAAATGCTTTTATGGAATAGTGGTTACACGCGTCCTGGGTGAAAGGTTTGGATCAGATTTATTATTATTATTATTTGCTACCAGTGGTTTAATTCTTTGCTCCAGTGTTCAATCTTTTTCAGCAGCAATGTTTTACATCTGATTAATTTTGGTGAAAGTGGATTTCAGAAATATAATTGGCTTGTCATTCAATAAAAATTGTTAGAAAATAATTTTGAGTGTTTGTCAGTTACTATCGAATGAAGTTATGTAATCTCGGACATGACGGTTATTATCGTCTGAACATCTTAAACTATAATAAACTATACAAATATTTGAAGTTTGTTAGACAGATTGATCTTATTATAACCAATATATTTACACATTAGGAAAATTGAGGCAATAAAACAATTTAACTATTAAAAGCAAAGTTCAGCATGAATAATAATTACAGACATGCTTTCGTGAAGAGATCATTATGAGATGATTAATATTCAGGGCCACAATAATTGTGCAAAACTGCATAAATACTTTTTGTTTCAATTGATTGTGTTTGGTTTCAAAATGTTCCTGTTTCACTAGAATGGTTTCTAAAAGATAATGTAACACCGAAGAGAGTAATAATGCAGAAAATTCAGATTAAATCTTAAAATATATTTATTTTAAATTGTAATAAATATTTCACAAAATTAGTTTGTGTATTTATGTTTAAATTGTGAGCATGAGAGACTTTAAAAAGAGATCTTACCAAACCCAAACTTTTGAACTCTAATGTATAATTAAAATCATAAACCACCATTTTTTTTCTATAGCCACCACTTTAAAATGGTAAATAAATATCATACAATGCATTGTGCACAATATTAAAACATGCTACCTGTTTAATTTCAGATGCAGAAAACTAATTCTATTCAATCCCATTATAAAAATACATTTTTTTTTATTTACAATGTTTTTCATTTGAAGAGTGTTATTGAATATTAACTGATTTCAATTCCTAACATCTTAAATTAAACAAATGTAGATTTTTGAACGTAATAAGATTTAATATTATGATTTTTTAATTTATTTAGCAAACAATGCTAAATAAGTTGCTGAATGTAATAAAGGGACTAGAGTGATATGGCTGGACGGTTGGTGGGGCTGTTACACAGTCCTGATCGCCGTTAAACAGCAGAAGAAGAGCCGGTCGCGGTCGCTCATCGTGACCCGGAGGAGGTTCTTCTGTCTGGTTCCGCGAGGGTTCAAGCTGTCAGGAGAAACAACTCGCTCTGATACAGTAAAAATCTTTACTGAGACTCAAGGCAAAATGCCCGGCGCCGATAAAGAGACGGATCTGTCCGAGCGCATCGAGTCGTTTCTGTCCGAGCTGAAACGCTGCGGGAGCGGGGCAGGATCTCTCCGGGGCTCCGCGGAAACTGCCCGAGAAACGAGCGCTTTACTCCGCAGAATCACCGCACAGGCCCGCTGGAGCAACGCCGGTGAGTGAGAACCGCGAGAATCCGAGATCGGGTCAGAACCAGAACCCGAACCCAGATGCTGCTCGCATTCTTTATTTTTTAACGGAAATATACCGAAAAATAAACATACACCACTTAATATCAATTACAACAATGACACACTAATAAAGAAAACAACAGAAAAAAATATTAAATAATAATACAAAATGAATAAAATAATTTTGCTATCCTATGACATCCTATTCATTGTGATTTTTTTATAGATGTATATAAAATATGATCATCTTCGTGTGAGCACCCTCCTACAATTGAAAAGGCAGCTATTTATTTTCATGTATACAATTTATAGGAAGAAAAGTAAATAATTATTTAATTATTTTAATTATTAGTTTAGTTTCTATTTAGTTGCGTTGTTTTTTTTACATTAGTTAGATTAAGCTGTTTTCTAATATACTGTAACTTGAATGTAATATTTATTGCTAATTTTACTCTCTATTTATATCTATTGTCTAATATCTATTTTATTATCTTAGTATTTTTTTTACATTTTAATCAAAAACTGTTTTTTATTTTACATTTAACTTATTTATTTTTATCTCTTTTTATTGTTATAATATACAAAATATGGTTTATTTCAATTTATTGTTTTTTTGTTTATATTGATTTATTTTAGTCTCTTTATTGTATTTATTTTTTGCATTTGTAGACTTTGACCACAAATTTTTTGTTTATATGTATTTATTTATTTTAGTCTAAAAATGTATATTTTATTTTAATCTTATTTCTATCATTTATTTTTACATCTGTAAACACCCTATGACTCCCTGGACCCCAGTTTGAAGTGCCCTGCCCTGGTGTAACAGGATCTGGACTTCTCTGTGTCCTCTTTCAGGTGAGCTGATGGAAATCATTCGGAAGGAGGGCCGGCGGATGACAGCAGCCCAGCCGTCTGAGACCACCGTGGGGAACATGGTCCGCAGGGTGCTGAAGATTATTCGAGAAGAGTATGCGAGGTGAGACACTCAGGACGTATCCGAAATACGAAATAGCCCATTTAACTTTATTCGCTCTTCCCTTCCTCTAATATTGAACTCGAAGAAGTGAACAACAGCATTATCTTTGGTAGGCCTACACATGTTCGTTAACTAACTCATGCTAACTGTTGCCTTTGGCTTGCTCAGTTGGGGATATTCAAATTAATTAACCAATCAGTATTACCTTTGATTAGCTCGACCAAACGTGGATGTTTTTCCACTAAGAAACGAACATTGTTGTTTTGATTGATACTGTGAAGCTGCTTTGATGCAATCTATATTGTGAAAAGTGCTATAAATATACTTGACTTTAAATATCACTCAGACAAACCAACAAGAACAAATATGACCATCCAATCAAGTGTCATCATTTTGTCAACATGAATAACAGATCGCAGTTAATACCAATTTTGTCCACTAGGAGTCACTGGTAAAACAATGCTTTTAGGTCTAATCGTTTTCCATCAATTTGAATTCCTGAATATTTCTTAATTTCCTTTTTAAAGTATCTTTTGAGACTATCTTGTATTTTTCTAAGCTGTCTCATCAAATCCTATCATCACAGTATCAGTGGAGATTTACAGACTGTAACTTTAAGAATATTTGTAAAGATGCATGGTAATTGTCACGTATTTGCTTATATTAGTATAGGGGAATATTATTTGTCTGGACGGATTTTGCGGGAAACGGCATACTTTCATAATTTGTCCGCACATGTTTATGCAAAGGCTATCTGTAAATAAAGAAATGAAGGGTCGGTGACGATCCATTATATGCAACGACGGTAACTTAACTTCAAGCCAAAACAAAAAAGAGTTTGGAAACGAAAAGGGAAAGCGACAGTATTGGTAGTAATAAAGTGCGAATCAACATCGTTTGCATAGCATCACAGTGCAATGTTTATGTTGGTAACAATGTCAATCTCTAAAGAGTTGGAATATTAGCCTATAAATGAAATAGCCTCGACATGTTTCCACCGTTAACTTGGGCTATATGAATAGCAATTGCTAATGTCAGCGTTACCAAACTTTTGTAATGTTATTGTTAAAACTGTTGATTTACAAGCCACTTAGCACTTACCTTATGACATTTTCAGATATTCGTCTTTCATTGTTGTAAGTTTTGATCATCTGAAAACATCGAGCAAGTTACAACAGCTCGTTTCAAACGGTTTCAAACTATCAGATCCATCCGCGCCGAACTACAACTCGCAACCAAAACAATATTCCTCCGCAAGTAGGACAATAAATAGTCTCTGTTGCAGTTTATGCTTCAACCGCTAGAGGGCCTAATTTGACAGTGTAGCTTTGATACAGGCATACAGGTTTATGAACGTGATATAGTGAGTGAATAATAGCAGAATGTGAATCATTAGAGATCACGTGTCTCTCTCCTCAGGTCCAGAGGGAGCAGTGAGGAGACGGATCAGCAGGAATCTCTGCACAAGCTCCTGACGTCTGGAGGATCCAGCGAGGACAACTTCAGACAGCACTTCGCTCATCTCAAAGCCAACGTCATCGAAGCCATCAACGAGCTGCTGACAGAACTGGGTGACAATCCAGAACGATCAAGGCTTTTGCTTTTTTATCCAGTAGTGGATAAACTACAGTCTTACCAAAAATCATTCAGACACCAGATATCATTTTTGATATGTGCAGGACACTATAGTTCATTTATGTAAGTGAGGATAGCAATATAAAGTAAACTGACATATTATACACAAAACTTCGTCGTGCAGTGGACTACAAGTTAAATTAATTAATTGAAATTATTCAGACACTTTGATCTGAGCATGTGGTTTTTCTTTAATTGCTAATGCGAACTTTTTACGCCACAGACTGAACAAAATGAAGTTGATAATTGGTTGACCTTATTTGTGTAGCTGACAGCTATTCAACATAATTCATTTGTGAGACAGCAGGATGGACAAAACCAGTGACATATCAACTGATTTGATAACTCTCGGTTCTTATCATATTTTATTACAATTTTCTAAACTATTGCGAATAAACTGTGAGAAATGTTGAAGGTGTCTGAAGAAATTGTGGTTTGACTGTACTGTATATGTTCTAGTAATGCTAAATATGATTGCTGAATGTTTGTGTGTGTTTTCAGAGGGCACCACAGACAACATCTCCATGCAGGCGCTGGAACACATCCACTCCAACGAGGTCATCATGACCATCGGCCGCTCCAGGACAGTGGAGGCGTTCCTGAAAGATGCCGCGCGCAAACGCAAATTCCATGTTATCGTTGCAGAGTGTGCGCCTTTTTGTCAGGCGAGTACATGCTCTCGCGATACACACATCTCACTCCTGAGTCCTGACAGATTTAATAACAGCAGAACAAGCCAAGAATGAACAACTCTGTCATTATACATTATTACCATAATGTTTAAACATTATTACAAATTATATTATAATTATGAAATAATATAATATTATTTAATCATTTATAATCTTATGAAATAATATAAATTGACATAATAATTAGAATGTAATAAATAATCATCATTATTATTATTATAATTATGTTCTTGTCATTAATACATAAAGAATAATACATTAATCAATAATAAATTATAATAATATATTTAAACATTTAATAATATTTTAATATTTTATATATATATATAATTTATAACATTGTAATATTTAAATAATATACTATTGTTAAATAATATAAATTATAAATGTATGCATTTATAAATGTTATAAAATAATACTAAAACATTGTATT